TCTATTGAGTTGTCTTCCTTTTTTCTTATTAAACGTGAAAGTTCTTTGTACATTCTAAAGATGAGTCCTTTGTGTATTGTATATCGCAAATATCTTTTCTCACTTGCCTTTTCACTCTCTTAATAGTGTCTTTTAATGAATAGAAGTTTTAAATTTTAATCTAGTCCAGTTTATTGTTTTATTTTAATGGTTAGTACTTTTTGTGTCCTGTTTAAGAATCCTCCAAGGGACTTCCCTGGTGGTGTAGTGGTTAAGAATCCACCTGCCAAAGCAGGGGACATGGGTTAGAGCCCTGGACCGGGAAGATCCCACATGCCGCAGAGCAACTAAGCCCGTGCGCCACAACTACTGAGCACTCGTGCTACAGCTACTGAAGCCCGTGCGCCTAGAACTCGTGCTCCACAGCAAGAGAAGCCACCACAGTGAGAAGACCACGCACTGCAACAAAGACTGGCCCCTGCTCACCGCAACTAGAGAAAGCCCACGCTCAGCAACGAAGACCCAACACAGACAAAAATGAAAATATAATTAAAAAAAAAAAAGAATCCTCCAAGGCCATGAAGACAGTTTGTTTTATTCTAGAATATTTATCAGTTTTTCTTTATATTTAGATTTATAAGCCACCTGAATAAGTTTTTCTGTATCGTATGAGGTAGGACTTAGAGATTCATTTTTTTCCCATATACATAGCCAACTGAAAATGAATTAGATTGCAAATGTGGCCTAGTCCAAACACTTAGCTCCTTTCTAAAATATTCCCACAGAATCCTAGTTAGAATCAACTAATTAATTAATCATTTTAAATTAATTTGATAAATCTTTTTTGCACATCTAGTATTTGCTAGTTTAGCTAGGTTTGTAAGGGAAGGCCTCTCAGAGCTGACATTTGAGGTCAGACCTGATTAATGATGCCAGCCATGAGCAGAGTTGGGGAGAAAATTCCAGGAAGAGAGAACAAGTCGTAGGTGGCTTGATATGTGCAAGGAATGACAAGAAGGCTGGTAGAGCTGAAGTATAATGCTCAAGAGGATGAGAAGCACAAGCTCACTCTTTCGAATGTGAGATCAAAGGAAAGAAACAGACTGCAATCATCACGAGACAGTGGAGCAATGCCTAAAAGTTCTGAGGGAAATTCTCTCTATCAAGAGTAAGGGCGCGGGCTTCCCTGGCGGCGCAGTGGTTGAGAATCCGCCTGCCAGTGCAGGGGACACGGGTTCGAGCCCTGGTCTGGGAGGATTCCACATGCCGCGGAGCAACTGGGCCCTTGAGCCACAACTACTGAGCCTGCGCGTCTGGAGCCTGTGCTCCGCAACAAGAGAGGCTGCGACAGTGAGAGTCCCGCGCACCGCGATGAAGAGTGGCCCCTGCTCGCAGCAACTGGAGAAAGCCCTCGCACAGCAACGAAGACCCAACACAGCCAAAAATAAACAAATAAATAAATAAAATTTTTAAAAAAACAAAAAAAGAATGAGGGCACAATAAAGACATTTCAAACTCACAAGAACTCAGAAATTTTACCTATAAAACAAGTTTTCTTAGGATTTGTACACAGAGGTCTACTCCAAAAAGGTGAGGACAAGAAGAGGACGACAGGAGCCGACCCAGGAAGACCATGGAGGGACACCCCACCGTGAGAGCAGGGTGACTTCCCTGGAGAACACTCTGCAGACCCCAGCAGCTTTGAAAAAGGTTTGTGAGTATTTGTAGCTTCTGCCTGTGCCCCTTCCAATCTGTGATCCACAATGTTGCCCAAGTAAACTTGGTACAGTTCTAGATTCCCTCCCCACCTCAGTATAAAACCCTCCAATGGTTTCCCATAAGTTTCAGAATAAAATCCAACTTCCGGTGTGACAGGAAAGTCCCTTTGTTATCGACCCCTGCCCATCACTCACCAAGCTGGATGGCTGCTCATACCCTCTGCTCCAATCATTGACTGTTTACAGACTTCTTACAGCTACCAATATTTGCCACTTTGGAGCCTTTGTATCTGCTGCTCTCTCTCTGCAAGGAAACCCTTCTTCCCCTCCTTTCCCTGGTAGATTCGTCCTTGTTTCTCAAACCTCATTATCTTGGGGGGAACTTCCTTGACCACCTTGTGTTCCCCTCCTCTCACCACTGGTTTAAGTCCCCTCGGTTTTACCCCAGGGTTTCTCTGTGTTACTCACCTGTGGTACAAATCTGTGTCTATTTAATTTTTTGTTTATTTACTGTTCTCCTCACTATAGTCTCCTTGAGAGTAGGAGATTATTTTAATCATTGCATTTTCATCATTGTTGAAGTTTCTGTAATGGCTTCCCTGTAGTCAGCTTGCTTCTGTTAAAATTTCTGCTGCATCACTTGCTATGTTTTCTTGGGAACTCGAGTCTCAGTTTCCTCACTTGCCAAGCGATATGGCATTTTTATTTGCAGCACCTGGCACACAGAAGGTGCTCAGTAAGGTGTGTGGAATGAATCCAGGAAGATGGGCAGAGTTCCGGGGTTGGAGGAGCCTCTCAGCAGGGGAGTAAGGGTGACTCACTCCAGTCAATCTTGACTCCTCCTTTCCCCTCCCCCGGAGGAGTGCTCAGCTTCCTCTCCAGGACCCTTATGCCCTGAGGGTTGTGAGGAAAATCTGAAAAATGCAGACTCTTTTCCTGTTCACCCTTATCCATGTGTTGACCTAAGGAATTCAGGATATCTCCCGTACACGTCACTGTCTGAGGCTTAAACAGCCCATGAGGCTGTTTAAATATGGTGTTACTTTAGGACCCAAATTTCACTAGATGTGGATGTCTTAATGAGGGGCTGCTGGGAGGAAGCAAAGGGATCATGTACCCATTCTGCAGATGGAAAACCTCATGATCTTCTCCAAACTTCTCAGAGCCCATGAGCTCACATAAGTTGTCAGGAATCTACCAAGAAGAGGTCCCTGGCCCCCAGGGGTCCCCTCTCCTCCAGCTAAATGAATATTCTCTTTTTGTTCTTATGGTGGAGGCAACATCTCCATGGGACTGCTCTACTTTGAATGAGTTTCTAGAAACAAGAGAGAGTTGACCCTTCTCAATGTTTCACAAGATCTGGAGCAGAGTCAAGAATGGATTGTGAACTGGTACATGAAGGGTCATAGCAGCATTATTCACAATAGCCCCAAAGTGGAAACAAGCCGAATGCCCATCAATGGATGAATGGATAAATAAAATAAAAGCAGAAAAAGGAATGAAGTACTAACACATGCTACAACATGGAGGAACCTGGAGGACACTATGCTAAGTGAAAGAAACCAACACAAAAGACCACACATTATATGACTCCCCTTATATGAAATGTCCAGAGCAGGTCAATTTGTAGAGACAGAAAGTAGATTAATGGTTGCTTAGGGCTGGGGGTGGAAAGTGGGAGCAGTGGTGAGAGACTGCTAGTGGGTAGGGGGTTTCTTTCTGGGGTGATGAGAATATTCTAATAGTGATTGTGATGATGGTTATACAACTTTGTGAATATATTAAAAACCATTGAATTGTATACTTTAAATATGTGAATTGTATCTCAATAAAGCTGTTCAAAGGAAACAGATCTAGGGAAGTGTTGGGGGGGGTGATGGGAAAAAAAGGATGGCTTGTGTCACCTATATACTCTCCCATGTATCTACTCCTGCAAGCAATCATCTTGCAAGGGAAGAAACTAGATCCTACGAGTGGGTTTGAGACAGATTTCTGACGATCAGCTCTTCCTCTCCCCCTCAGCAGAGAACAGTCAGATATAAGAGTGGGCTGTAGCTGGGTAGCCTTTAAGGTTCACTTTTGCAAACTCTAACTTCTCCATTTCCTTCCTTCTTTCTTCTTTGCAGGGACCCAATTGCCGTGGAGGGAGACCGGGTGGACCACAGCTTGGATTACACAACTGGGACAACCAGTCTGTCTGGAAAGTGCATTGAGTGCAACAGTGATTCAGGGGACGTCAAGTGCATGTGTATTCAAGGTTGCCCTTCAGCTTTTCTCTATGCAGGATGCTATAAAGATGGTCCCTGCCTGTAGAAAGCTTGTGGTCAAGCAGGGAGATTGGCCAATTTGTGTCAAGAAAGAACTCAGAATGCAGGTACAGTGCCTGCTTTCTTCTCGATGAGGCATCAAACTTGAGGCTGGCCAAGGGAGGTCTGCTATGGGCACTAAACTTTTCATGTTTGCCACCAAATTGTTCAACGTGTAAAACTTGCTTTTCTTACAAATGACAAACACCATTCTCTGTCAAATTGAACACTGAGATTGTGTGCCTCAAAGTAATGTAGGTCCAACTTAATTTAAAAGCTAGGAGGCATAGGGTAAGGCTGCATTCAAGCCAAAGAAAGCAACGGACTTTGCTGGAGTATTTCAGAAGTTTGCCTTGATTACATGAGAGGTGTGACAGGGCAGGAACAGCTGGATGCATACAATGACATGGGCAAATCAGGGAGCTGAGGGTTAACCATTAGGGCTTTGGACCCTGAAGACAGTGTCACACTATAGGTGTTGAGATTGTGTTGTAATAATTGCTGGCTTGTTTCATGTTGCTTTGAGTCTCTTGATCCCTTCAGGTATGCCACCAAAAATTCTAGTATCTGACAAAGCTGAGAGCCACAGATTATCTACTTACTCCCTGAAGTCCCTTCTGATTAAGATGGCCAGGTAAAATACAGGCAATCCAGTTAAATTTCAATTTCAGAGAAACAACGAATAATTTTTTAGTGTAAGTGTGTCCCATGCAATATTTGTTTACCTGAAATTCAAGTTTAACTGCGAGTCTTCTATTTTTATTTGCTAAATCTGGCAACCTTATCTCTGATTCCCTTCTGGTCACTGCAAAAATGATAAATGCAGCCCTGCTTCCAGGCTAATATTTTGTAATGTGCACCATCTAGTGGTTACATGAACAAAGAGGAAACCAAGAACCGTCCCCAAGAAACAACTTGAAAGCAGCAATCCAGAAAGCTGAAAAGAAACAACTAGGCTTTAATTTTAAAAATTCTTAAAAAATTTTTTTTGACTTACTTCTTTGGATGTGGTGTCTGTGATCAGGTCAACAGCTTAGAGTGTCCAGTGAATATCTGAAATCCCTGGTAGATCAGCCAGTGTTTAAACAGCAACCCTCACTGGGCTGAGGCCTTGGGCTCCTCCATTAACACCTAAAGGCAAATACACAGCCTTGTCCTTGATCTGTTGTGGTTCCCAGCGTTCCTAGTGATGCTTCACAATAAGCGTGTGGCATCCAGCCATATCCATCAAGTACAATAAATGTCAGGCTGGTGCAATTTTATTAAACCCAACCAGGCCTGTACGGAGACTTGAGGAAGCAAGTATTTCCTGTTTACTATTTTACCAAGAGGGTATAGGGTAAGTGCCAAAGGGAATTGGCCCCATCCAATGGGCCTCTGGCTGCACATTGCAATCACCTGGGGTGTTTTTAAAAGCACCAATGCCTGTCCTTTCCCCCTTCCTCCTCTTTCTCTCCCTCCCCCTCCCTCCCCCTCCCCCTTCTCCTTCTCTTTTTCTCCTGTTTAAATCATTATACAACCACATGGTATTACTTTAAAGGAGTGCAATAGGCAATGCTGAAGACGATAAGAGATGGTCACTGAAATCAGATTTCACCTTAAAACTTGAGATATTTTATGGACGAAACCTCTCATCCTCAGCATATCCACTGAGGCTGTGTTTGTGTTTTTGTTTTACAGGCAAGGCTAAAAGGCAGAGGAGCTTCCCTGTCTCCAATTCAGTGTCTGTGGTTCTGTAATTTCATCGTAAATACTCACTATGAAACGGTATAGAAACTCCATTGGCAGTTTAGCCCAGGAGAAAATTCCAGAGCTCAGTCTGTTCTTTGAATAGGTTTTAGAATAAACTGGAAGGTGAGAGGGAGTTTGGGGATGGAAATTTTTCAAATACCCTCCACATTGACAAGGTGTCTCTATATAACATAATTGTATAAACAATGAAAAATAATACCTGCAATTTGTTGAGGGACTTTTATTGACCAGGATGCTTTGCACACACTATCCTTTTTAACTCTCAGAGCAACCCAAGGTGGCTGGGGACTATATCGCCATATTACACACGAGCAAACTGAGCTCCGGATTTGTACTAGGTTGGCCAAAAAGTTCACTCGGGTTTTTCCTAAGAGGACACAGCTGGTGAGCGGCACGGCTGTTTTTCACACCCAGCTTTGTCTGACTGCAAATCCTGTGCTCCTCCGGCTCTGATATTCTGCCAAGACTACAGTGCATAGTTCTGCAGATTTCCTTCCCCGCTGGTCGGGCTTGTGACAGAGAGCGGTCTGCCAAGTCACTCACATGTCAATGACACTCCACTGCCAGGCTCAGCCGCCCAGTATTAAGGCACTTGAAACCAGACTTTCAAAGATATTCACTTCCTTCTGGCTGGCTCAAGAAAGTCAAAAGGCAGTTTTCATTTTTTGTGGCACTTACCTTTGGGTAGCTGAGTCACGTTGGGGGTCTTATGGGGGCTTTGGTGATGATATTAAAGGCTATCTCTAAGGATCTATGAAGCCCTCCTTGGAAGGAGGAACAGGAAAACAAACAACCATTTGTGAAAGGTAGAGTGGAGATACACCGACCCAGAAACCATGTTTCAGAATCAATCCATTCCTCGTGTTTCAAGGCCCCTCATGCTGAAATGTCACCTCCTCTGGGAAGCCTTTGGGGACCTGCCTCTGCCCCAGGCTCATGAACTGCTCCCCCTACTGCCATTGGCACTGGCCTCTGTTCTCCTTCTCAGAAGCGGAGTGTGTGCATATACACCTCTTTCTCTAAACTGTGAGCTCCTTGAGCAGAGCAGAGCTGGTCTAGACCGGTTCAGGCTTCTGCAAGTCTGTGGTATCCAGAGGAAGGGGTCCCAGGGAGAAGGAGTAGGCAGTGGGCTGGAAGGAGGCGCCTTTGTCAAACTTCGCTTGGTGAGTCAGGGTCACATGGATTAGTCACAGGGGAGGGTTTTGAAAATCTTTATGGTGTCCTGGGACGGTCAACCTTGTCCACGTCACAGCCTGTGGATTTTCTGAGCACCTTTAGCGTCTCCTCTGTGACCTTGTAACCGTCGTAGGACTTCACACACTCAATCTTTCATTCAGTAAGTACTTCTTGAGAGCCTGTTAGGGGCCAGGCACTGTGCTGGGTGCTGGGATCAGTAGTAAACAAAACTATCACAGCTCCTGTCCCGTGCAGCTTATAGACAAGGGGAAACGCTTACATTTGCCTGGACCGAAACAGTCTCCCCCAGCACACCCGGAGCTCCTTGAAGGAAGAGACTAAGTTGTATTGACTTTTTAACATTTTCATTTTATGTTTTAGTTTATTATGTAATTCACACCATAAAATTCACCCTTTTAAAGGGGACAGTTCAGTGGTTTTAGTATATTCACAAGGTTGTGCAGCCATCGCCACCATCTAATCGCAGATCATTTTCATCAGCCCCGCGATAAACTCCTTGCCCATTAGCAGTCATTTGCCACCTCCCCTGCCCCCAATCCCTGGAAACCACTAATCTACTTTCTGTCCTGTGGTTTTGCCTTTTCTAGACATTTCACATAAATGGGATCATGCAGTAATGTGGCCTTCTGTGTCTGGCTTTTTTCACTCTGTGTGATATTTCCAAGGTGTATCCACAGTGTAGCAATGATCAGGGCTCCATTCGTTTTTATGGCCAATAATACTCCACTCTGAATGTACCACCTTCTGTTTGTGCAGTCATTGGTGGCTGGATGGTTACAGTTACTTTTGTAGTTTGTACCTTGATGTCTTCCTCCTCCGTGTCACCTTGTCTTCTTGCTCTGTCTCTCCTCTGTCCATCCCTCCCTCCCTGTTCCTGCTTTCCTCTCTCAGATGCTTGTTATTCCACACCTACCACGTTATGGGCACTGTGATTAAACATCTCATAAATGTTCCAGTCTGAGGTAAATCAAAAGGCACTATTTAAAAATTTTTAAATAAATGCCTTATTTTAAAAGTTTTAGATGTATAGAAAAGTTGCTGAGATAGTAGAGAATTCCCATACGTCCATCCCCCAGTTTCCCCCATTGTTAACATCTTACCTACTGTGGTACATTTGTTCCAACTAAGGAGCCAGCACTGTTACCTTCCTATTAACTCAACTCTACACTTTATTCAGATTTCACTACTTTTTCCCTAACGTCCTTTTCCTGTCCCAGGATCCCATCCAGGACACTTCATTGCATTCAATTATCGTTGTCTCCTTAGGCCCCTCCGACCTGTGATGGTGTCTCAGGCTTCCCCTGTTTCTGATGACCTTGACGGTTTGGAGGACTGGTCAGGTTCTTGATAGAATGGCCCTAAGTTGGGGTTTGTCTGATGTTTTTCTCATGGTTAGACGGGGATTATGGGTTTTCTGGTGAATAAAGCCATCATTTTTAAATTGCTGAAAAGCCCTGGAACTAAGAAGTGAGACCAGATTTTTCAGGATTATTCAGAAAAACCAGGGAAACTTTACTTTGGAGACCTTCAAATGGTACAAGTGCTGTATGGAAGGATTCCCTGGTCTTTTCTCCAAAGAGAGTGGTATGCTGCCTATCCTCACGGTGGTGAAGAAATGAGCCTTCATCTGACAAACACACACAGCTTGACATGTGTTCTTTCTCTCCTGTTGGCTCTAAAGTGGGACCTTTGGTGAGTCAAGCCCTCTCTCTTGGTGTCTGTAGGATTAGGAAGTTGCGACTGATGATCTCCAGGGCCTCTTCCCACTGTGACGGTTTATACTCTAAGAGATGACCCGTAAGTTCCCTGAACATCCGTCAAATCCCTAAGTTTGGCTCCCCATTCTTCCATATCAGTCCCAGCCTGTTGTATTCGGGTGGCATTTGTCTCCAGAGGATATACCCACCCCAACCCCATTTTAAAAACCTTCCTTGCAGACAAACATACTGGACAAACAAACCCCAGCCCTTTGCTGTGCGGATCTCCACTTTGAGGGGCTGGGGGAGCGTTCCAGAGCAGCAGTGCCCAGAGTGGGACCCTGGCCTCCCAGTTCCCCTGCTGACACAGCACAAGGCCCAGAGTGAGGAGGGTCACAGGCAGAGCTACACACCACACGACGCTGGACACTCTTCACCCCAAGGGGCTGTTTTGGTTCAGCAGCTCCTGTGGCTCGAGTAAGTTAATCACTGATGCCAAGAGATTAATTTGTAACTGGACAGCAGACAAGATAATTCAGGCTCCGGTGGGGCGGCACTGAACTGTGGCATGGGCATTTCTCAGAAGACGCCTGCTCCACAGCTTGGCGCGGACGCTGAGAACTTCAGATCCACACCGGTTCCTACGGGCCACCTCCCTTTCCCTCCAAAGTGGGGGGAAATGTGCCCAGGACTCTCCCTTCCTCTCTGCAGCATATTCGCGGGTCTTAGAAAACCTGTCCAGGCAACAGCCAGCCTCAGTAGAAAAGTCCAGTTTAAAAAGTCCACTTAAGGGGGAGCACGTGCCTGCCAGCCCAGCTGAGGCCCGTGGACCAAACCGTGCAGGAGGGGAGAAGAGGACGGAACGAGCGAGGAGAGAGGAGGCAGTGGAAAGATGTGGAAGGATGGATGGGAGCCCAGGGTGGGGGCGAGAGATGGTTCCTACAGCCTGAAGCCCCCGGCTCGTGGACTGCGGCCACTCCAGGAAAGGCAGGTCATTGAGGGTCTGCCCTCCCATCCCATGTGCATCCCCTCCGTCATTTCCAGTCTTAGCCCACTGCCCCCATTCTGGGTCCAGGAAAGACAGGTGAATCATGATGTGCAGGTCCCCCTGCGGCCTGACCGTCATGCTCCAGTCATCACTTCTTTATCAAGTAAGATGACCCTTTGTTGCCATACTGGACACCCATGGCCATAGCTGCTGGCTGCGGATGCCGCCATTTTGTCAGCTTCAGCAATCTCTTATTTCTAGCCAGGACAACTTGGAGTTCTTAAGTCAAGCCTATTTATCAAGGAAGGCCCTGGCAATACTGCCCTCATGGCACTGGGCTCAGAAGGCTATTCTATAAGGCCACAGTCTCCATAGAGAAAGAAGATAAGAAAAGAAGGTAAATGGAACCAAAAATAGGAATGGGGCCTGCATTAAAAGGGGGTGCAGGGTTTCCCTGGTGGCGCAGTGGTTGAGAGTCTGCCTGCTGATGCAGGGGA